AACATCAGGGCTAGTTTTAAAGGCATATATAGATGTTGATTAAGTAAGTTCAGCAATTGATAGAAGATCTACCTCAAGCTATTGCACTTTCTTAAGTGATAATCTTGTGACTTGAAAGAGTAAAAAATAAAGTGTGATGGCAAGATTAAGTGCTAAAACAGAGTTGAAAGCATTGGCTCAAGGAATTTGTAAACCATTAGGGTTGAAAATTATCCTAGAAGAATTGAATATTAAGTGGGAAGGACTAATGAGATTCTACTATAATAACAAATTTACAATAAACATTACACACAATCTTATGTAAAATAACAGAACAAAACACATTGAAGTAGATCAATATTTCATAAAGGAAAAACTAGATAGTGGGTTGATTTGTACACCATATGTATCAACTAAGGGTCAACTTACAGATGTGTTGACTAAAGGTCTTAGCAGTGCAACATTTCAAGAAATTATTTTCAAGCTAGGAATAGAAAATACCTATTCACCAGCTTGAGGGGTAGTGTGAAAAAATATTTATTTATGGCTGATTGTAATCTTATAATCTATATATTTATATTTGTATCTTAAAAATTAGGTATTTGTATCCCTAGAATTAAGGATAAAAAATTAGGATAGACAATCTCTCAATTATAGATCAGTTTTAGGAAGATTTAGTTTTCTAGTTTACCCATTAGTTAGTTGTATATAAATCTAAGGTGCTTGTATAATTCTTTATGAGCAACTTTTCAATATACATTCAAGTTTACTCTTAGTTTTTCATACAGTTTTATTTCTTAATTTTTTCATATATACAAATATTTTGAAAATATTTAACTAAACATATAAATAATTTATAATTAAAAAATCCTATAAAATCTTAAATAAATAAGTTATTTTTATATTTTTATATTTGTCATGTGCTATTCACATGTTATCAAGTATAATATTGTAAAAAACTTTATTAGGTAATTTTATATTCCTCTAACCAAACAAAAAAATTTTGCATTCCCTAAGATCAAGAAACCTCGGGAATCACTCATTCTTCTTCAATATTACTTTTTTTTTTTATAATCTAAGAATTCACAAACTAAATAATCTAAGAATTCGTAAACCAAAAGCCTTTTAAAAAAATTATTTTCCTCCGATGAAGAAAAATTGATAAGTCATCTTTTTGAATATTTAATACTTTGTTTTTACTTCAAAATGTCATCTATAAAAATGTCACTTTTAACATTTATCTGTATCATTTATAAAAAGGTCGATCCTCATATTTTATCAACATAGAGATAATCAATGTTAGGATAATAATTAAGCTCCGTGCAACTTAAAAATATATATATATATATATATTTTAAATATTTAACTAAGTAAATAAATAATTTATAATTAAAACATCTTATAAAATATTAAAAAATAAGTTATTTTTATATTTTCATGTTTTTTACGTGCTATATTCACGTAATGTCAAGTACAATATAGTAAAAGATTTTATTAAGTAATCTTACATTCCTCTAACCAAACACAAAAATTTTACATTCTCTAAGATCAAGAAATCCCAAAAATCATTCATTCCCCTTCAATATTCTTTTCCTCTTAGAGTCTAAAAATTTGCTAACCAAACGCCTCTTAAAGAGATTTTTTTTTCTTTGATAATTTAGAGGAAAGAAAATTTGAATTTGATAGGAAAAGGCAAAAGGTTAGTAATTTGCTAAATGTTGTTGGGCTTCAAGCAAAAGGTATGATATTTTCAAAGAAAGTCAAACTATTAAAGTTGTTGAGTCATTAAATGATAAACTTACAAGTGGAAAATGATTAGATTTGATTTAATCTTTTGATTTCATTTTTAACTAAACTTAATGAGTAGTGTGCTAAGAATTACAAATGAAATGTCGAAAGTGTGATGTTTCAATCTCATAGTGAAAGAATATAAGGATATTATATGATATATATGTAGAGAGCTAAACCCATACTTGTGAAGCGTTTTTTGTAAGATAAAATTGTGAAACTTTTGAGTTAAAGTAAAAATATCTCGTAAGTTGTGTACGAATCTCCATAAGTGATATCAAAGCCTAGGTTTTTCAATTATAGTTTTGCACAAGTAATAATTTTAACAATTTATACATATTTGTGAATGATAAGTATGAAACATAGTCATGAAACTTTTGGATCAAAGTGAATAATACTTTAAGGTTGGGTGTGGGTCTACAAAAATATTATCAGAACGATCATCAGTCAGACAAGAGTTAGATGTTACACAGTGAGAGCCACCCTTAGAATCCCAATGGAGCTAAGTATTACTTAGTATGAGCAACATTTAGAATTCTAACATCTATTATGATCCTGATTCTATGTATGTTATTATGTTGGACTTAATGAGAATGTCAAGTTTTAACAGGGAAAGATTGTTATGGCCATAATCTCACATTATAAGAATGTGAAAATATGATATGACACATATATAAAAAGCTAAATCTATACTTGTGAGGTACTTTTTGTAAGATAAAATCATAAGACTTTTGAGTTAAAATGGATAATATTTCGTTGATTGGGTGTAGGTCTCCACAAGTGGTACCAAAGCTTATATTTTTTTATTATAGTTTTACATAAGTAGTAATTTTAACGATTTAGACATATATGTGAATGATGAACGTGGAATAAAATCATAAGACTTTTGGATTAAAGTAAACAATACTTCATAAATTGGATGTGGCTCTATACAAATGCTATCAAAACAATCATCAGTCAAATGAGAGTTAAATGCTACACAGTAGGAATCACCTCTAAAATCTCAATGGAGTTAAGTGCTACATGGTAAAAATCTTTACATCTGATGTGATCCTGATTCTATGTATGCTTTTATATTAAGCTTGACGATGATATCAAGCTTTAACATGAAGAGATTATTATACCTCCAATCTCACATTATAAGAATGTGAGGATATGATATGATATATATGTAGAGATCTAAACCCATAATTGTGAGAAGTTTTTTGTGAGATAAAACCATAAGATTGTCGAGTTAAAACAGGCAATACCTCACAAGTTAAGTATAAGTCTCCACAAAGAGCTTTATAAAGGATAGGTCAATATATTGTTAATGCTATGAAATTAGTTGAAATATCCAAACAACTACAAAATATGAGACATAATGAATGAGATCCTTTACTAGTTGAAATTTTTTAATCTTGTGAACAATATGATATTGTAGTTCTTAGTATGGATGATATCTAAGTTGTGTTACAAAGATCTCAAATTTGCATTGGTCAATTTTATGTGGTCATAAATAGACAATTTCAAGTGTTAAATAATAGTTTCACTAAAATTAATATTGAGTTGCTTCTTTGTTTAAACCAAATAATTTATTTCAGTTTTGGACAAAGAAAAATTAATTCATTTTACTTAATTTTATTTTTTGAATTTTTAGTAATTGATTTTATGGTTATTTTTGAATTACTGACAGGTACTCTAATTCTGAAATTTTTGGATGACAAGGAACATGGTTATTTTGTTGAAAAATTAGTGAAAACAAAGATATTATTTATCTACTAGTTTTTTCTAAACAAATTCACTTTGACCTAACCAATTGTGACTTCAAGTGTTGAAAAAGATTTTTGAATAATGAAAATAATGAAGAATCAATTGCAAAATCTAATGAGAGAAAATTTAATAAATGATTATTTGATCATAATATATATTAAAAAATGTATTTGAAAATGTTGATAATGACGTAATTATACACTAACTTAGTAGCTGGATTTAGCTTTCTAACTCTCTTTTACTAATAATAATTTCTTTTTTCAAGTTAAAAAAAAGTAATTATACAATGATTTCAAAATATCAAAACTTGTCATAAACAATTATAAAACTAATATTTTTACATTATTTTTTTCTTATTTACATTTTTTAGAGATGTTGTTTTAATATTATGTATAAAAAATTTAAAGAGAAATTATTTGATAGACTAATAAAAAAAATTTTTAATTTCATAAATGGAGTTAAAATGATGATACTCGTCTTTTTTTTAAAATATATCAAAAATATATTTTTATCTTAATTTTACCTCTGAAGTTAAAAAATTAATATATTGGATAATTTTTCAAATTTAAATTTACATGTTTAGTTTGTGTATTGTGATAAATACTATAGTAACTTTTAATCTTAATGGCGTTTTACCATAATATAACTCTGGTTAAGGTAAATAATTGAGGTAATTCCATAAGAATCTAGACAAAGACAGAAAGCTGAATTTTGACGTCTGTGAGATGATGTAACATAAACAGTCAACCCTCTAAAGCTACAAACTTATGATAAAATTAGAACATTCCACTCTGTGGTCTGTATCCAGCCACATCTTTCTACTTTTGTGTAAGCCAAAAGTAGAAAAACGCCATTTCCTCAAGGATTTGGCACAAGTGGAAACCTAAATAAATATCACCCCAGTTCTCAAGAAGAATTAATATAATAACACAAAATATAATGTTTCATTATAATAATATTTAATTTATTTATATCATAATGATTTTTTATATGACAAAATACTAATAATATAAAAATATATTAAAAAATTAATTTTATTTTATATATATTTAATACGAAACAAACTGGATATTACTTCGACTAAATTTATCCACAAGCACTTGAAAATTCTACCCTATGAAACATAAAAAAACGTGTGCTTAAACAAAAGTACGTGCAAATTTGATAAAATATTTTTAATTGGAATAATTCCTAGATTTAGAAGAACAGGATTCAAATCGAAATAATACAACGATAGAACCCAAAAAAATTCATAATAAATGATTAACCAAACATATTTTAATCTTTGTTGAACAGATAAACTTCCATGCAAACCATTTAAACCCCCCAAAAGAAAAAATATATCTCGATATATTCACAAAGAGATGAATCGTACAACTAATGTACTATCAAGTAATAATTCAGAGAATAGAAACAGAAATAGAAATAAAAGAAGCTGAGAAATTGGAAAATAAAGAAAAGGGGATGAAGAATTCATTAACCTTTCTCCACTGGAAAACTGATAAAGCTTTCCTGTAGGGGAAAAGATGAGGAGAGCAAGCTCTACATCACAAAGAACAGCAAGCTCTTCAGCTTTCTTGATCAAACCATTTTTCCTCTTCAAAAAAGTCACCTGTCTTTTACTTTTGTCTTCGATTCGCTTCAGCTGAAGCTTCCTTCTCCCCATTTCTCCAAAATAAACTCTCCGTAACCCTAATCAACATAAAGCAGTCAAAGACCGGAAAAAGAACATATAAAATATTAAAGAAATGCGGAAAAAGATTGAGGTCCCCTTTTGGGATTCCCGGAGAGAATATACGGCAACGCCTTTTTGCCGACACGTGGGTCGAGGTATTTTTTTTCCTTTTTTTAAGAATTGAGAAGCGCAAGGATCGTGGTGTTATCAGTGTGGTTGATGACAGTGAGTTTTGATTTGACTTTGATAAGTATAAAGGTGTAAATGATTTCGGATTTATATATATATATATATATATAAAAGAGATCGAGACAATCCCATAAATAGATTTTATAATTTAAAATATAATATTGTGATATAAATATAATATAAAAATAATATATTTAAAATTTTAATAATAATATAAATTTAATAAAATTAAAAAATATATTTTATATTTTTAAATCAATAATTTAATATTAATTATAATATATAATTTTTGTATAAAAATAATTATTAGGCAAATCTACTTAAAAGTTGAATCCGAAATAATGCAATGAAAACTTTTTTTTTGACCGATCATCAACAAAGCATTAATCATGAAAAACACAGAGTAATAATACCATGTATTGGTACGGATGAATAGCTAGCTGCTTTACACATCAATTTCTTTTCTCTTTGTTAAAAGTAATGATGTGCATATTTTCATTTTAGTCATATTAATTTATTGAATTAATTAAATTTAGTTAATTAATTAGTTATTAAATTAATTTTGATTAATTTTAAAAATTATTTTTGGTGAATTTTGATTTTTAAGTAGTTCAATTCAAAAATCAAATTAAGTAATTAAAATTTTAATTGAAAATATAAACTATTCAAACATAAAATTAAAAATACATTAAACGAATCATTTGATTTTATAAATTGTTAGAATTATTAACTTAATACTTCAATATTTGAATATCTTATTATATAGTTTTATTTAATTTGTTTCAAATATGAGAAATGAAGAGTTTAAAATATAATTTATCTTAAATATATTTTACTATTCCATTAATTCAAAATTTAATTAAATTAATTGAATTAAATTCAATCGGTTAGATTTTTAAGATTAATAAATTCAATTCTATTAATAAAAATAATATAATATAATTTGATTAATTTAATTATGAATAATTTTCATGGTTACTCAATTCATAACTAAAAATTTTAATTTGTACGAATAATAATTAAACTTTATCGAATATTTACAATTAAGGATAAATTTGGATGAAAATTTATGTGTCCCCTACACATGGTTTACTTGCATGGTTTAGTTTTGTATTAATACTAATGTATACCCAATACTTAATAAATAAATAAAATCAGTTTCATATAAGCATAACAACTTTTTTTTTCTTTTTTCTTTCCAATTTTTTTTTCTTTTCATCTTAGCTTTAGATTTTTCTCCCCTCAACTCCTATTTCTTTACAAAGCCTCCTATTGTTTTGTTCTTGTGGAGGATATACTAGCTAGATTGTTATATAGAGGGCTATACTAGTTGGTAAGGAGATTGTGCATCTTGGCCTTGACCAAGTGAGAAAATTGGCCAACAACTGTATTGGTTTGCAAGGATTTTTTATATTTAATGCTATTGGTGGTGGAACTGGTTTTGGTTTGGACTCATTGGTTTTGGAGTGCTTGTTTGTAAATTATAGAAAGAAGTTAAAACTTGGCTTCATCATCTACCCTTTTTTCTCAAGTAATTCCTTGAAGATCTTGAGGGAAAGTACAATAAAAATACTGGTCTAGCCTTCTGTTTGAAAAGGAAAAGAATTTGGTGAAACACATAAGTGAGAAACCTGCAATTAAGAGAAGCGATTTATGATTCAAGGGTGTTCGAAAGTGAAAATAAGAGAAGTGAGTTTTCGAAATCAGATTACCTAACAGTAAGAAAAGGATTTGGGTTTTTGAAATCAAACAAAAATTTCTTGGTTTAGTTGTAGGATTTTGAATTTCATGGGTATTATAATATGGATTGATGGTTTTTTTTTATGGATTAATATTGAGTAATCAAAAATTTAATAATTGTGCAAAAAAGCCAGAACTTTGAATTTTTATTTTCTTACTTTTTATTTTTAAACTGTTTTTAAAATAATAAGAAAGAATAAAATGATTTTTTTATTTTTTAAATAAATCTCAATTTTAGGATTATTTTTAATTTTTTATTTAAAATAATACTTAACACTAAAAAAGTGACACATGACCATTTTTCATTTAATTGTTATTTTTATTAGAGTTAACGGTGCATGTGAAACATGCACAAATTTTCATCCAAATTTATCTTTAATTGTAAACATTGGATAATGTTTAATCTTTATTCGCACAAATTAAAATATTTAGCCACAAATTGAAAATCACGTAAACGTTTAATTTCAAATTGAGCATTTAGCCATTTTATTTAATTTGTTTCAAATATGAGAAATTAAAAGTTTAAAATATAATTTATCTTAAATATATTTTGTTATTCCAGTAATTCAAAATTTAATTAAATTAACTTAATTAAATTCAATCGGTTAGATTTTTAAAATTAATAAATGTAATTCTATTAATAAAAATAATATAATATAATTTGATTAATTTGATTATGAATAATTTAGTCAAAATTAACCAAATTATGCTAATGAACACCTTAATCAAAGGATATTGAAAATCCAAAAACTGTAATAGTAAGAATAATTTACCACACTCATTTTTTTCTATTTTAATTTAATCATATACATATAAGATGTTTTTGGTACATAAGATTATGGTAGGATACAAGAAGATGATATAATAAATAGAATTAGATTAAATAATATTACTATCAAAATTATTCTTCCTCAAAATTTATACAATTTAAATTATTGATATAATTTTTAAAGATATAATAAAATATGTAAGTTCAACCCCATGGATTAAAAATAATCTTCTCCACTTTGAAAAGATTGAAGTATCCTATACCAAGAGAATGACTAATTTTCCTTGTAATCTTATCTCTTTCTTTAGATACAAACCAAACATGATATAAAATGATTATCATTCTATTCTATCCATTATCCTATACACCAAACATGAACATAATCTATTAAGGCCATGTTTGGTGTATAAGATGATAGAAAAGATAAGATGATAATCATCTAATATTATGTTTGGTTTAGATTTGAGGAAAGAGATTGATTATAAGGATGATTCAATCCTCCCAAAGTGAAAAAGATTATTTTTAATCTAAGAGATTAAATTTACATATCTTATTATATCTTTAAAAATTACATCAATAATTTTTTTTGAAAAGAAAATGTAATTCACTACTCAATTTGAAAGTTACAATCATCATATAGTGTCTCAACTATTACATCAGGGCATTCTTCAACCCAATATTTGTCACTTTCTAATTGTAAACTATAACATGCAAGTTGGTATGCTACCCTATTCCCTATTCTCACTACATGCATGATCCTATATGAATGGAACCTGGTTAATCTCCATCTTGCTTCCTCTGTGATTATGCCAATAGGTGAGTGATCAGGCTTTGTCATTTGTAACTTCTTAATCACTATCAAACAATCCCCTTCCAGCCATACCTATGCAAAATCCAAGTCCTATGTGAACTTTATGGCATTAATTGCTACTGTGATTTTTGCTTGAAATGAGCTACTGACATCACTTAATTGCATAACTACTACTTAAAAAATAGCCCTCTGGGGATCTTTGATAATAATTCTTGTGCCTTTTGTTTGATATTGCTTGTAGAACGAGCCATCAAAATTGACTTTTATAATCATTTCTTTCGATTGGTTCCAATGTTAGGGAGAAAGATGTTGGTGTTCTCTTATCACCAGTTGTCTACCGAATTCTTTATTATATTGTTAAATAAAGTTTGCTACTACTGGTGTTGGTTTTTTTCGCTCTTCATGCTTTTTTTTATTGCACTCTCCCCATATCCCCCATACGACAGTTATAAATAATTCCATCTTTCAAGTTGGTGCATACTTGTTTTATCCACTTTGCAGCATCAGTCAAATTGCTTTACTCATTTTGGTATAAACTAATATGTTGAATAGTGATTCAAAATTTAGTTCACGTTTGGGCTCAATGTCCTAGTTTTTAGGATATAGTTGGTACTAGTTATTATACGTGGCTAGGTGATTTCTAATTTTTAACAATTTTTTCCACTTTCCTATTATCTGTTAACTATTTGAAGTTTTTACTCTATTAGTTATCTTGTAAGTCTATTAAAAGGTTGATTGAATTTAATAGAAAAGCATAGCAATTTATGTGCAATTACCCAAAATTGATTCTTTCTTTGGCATCGATGATTTAATTTCAAAAAACCTACCTCATTCTCCAATAAATTTGTTGGTATCAGAGCATTAAGATCTTTACCTTTTTTTGTATTCGTTGAATTGTTAATGATGGCAGTTAATGGTACTTCAAATGTAGCCCAATCTCTCATTCCAATGTTCGACAAAAAACTTTACGACTTCTGAAATATCAAGATGAAGATACTTTTCAAATCTCAAAATCATTGAGATTTTATAAAGATCAAATACAATGAAAATTGAGATTTTATAAAGATCAGATACAATGAAAATGATAATGATGAAGGCTGACAGAAAGACAACAAGAAGAAAGATTCTAAAGCCCTATTTATCATTCAACAGATAGTTCATGAGACACTTTTCTCCAGGATTATAGCAGCTAACGTTTGAAAATAAGCTTGTGAAACCTTACAGAAAGAGTTTCAAGGCTCTTCAAAAGTTATTACTGTAAAACTCCAAACTCTCTGGCATGAGTTTGAAACTTTGATGATAAAAACTAAAGAAATAGTACAAGATTTTCTTTCTAAAGTAATTTCTAATGTTACTCAACTGAGATCTTTTGGTGATAAGATTACTAACGAGACTATTATTTCTAAAGTTTTATGAAGCTTAACTCTAAAGTTTGATCATATAATTACTATAATAGAAAAGTCTAAATATGTGTCCATTTTT